ACAATAAAAAAATGCAGGAGCTCTTACTCTGCCTTTCCAGCCTCGGTCTCCAGCTTAGCAGCCACTGCCCCCACCGCACCTGGAGCCCCAGCCCTCAATCTACCCCAGCACTCAGCAAATATCCCACAGGAAAAAGAGTCTCTTATCTGGGCTCCTTTAGATTCTAATCTGTAACAATAGCCTGAGAGGCCATCAAAAGTTCAGTGTAAACTACACTCAATCTTTGGCCTTGACAAATGTACCCAGGGAGAAAAATGACCAACAATCCCAGCTCACCTAGCATGGGCTCTTCTGTTTCTGATCTCACTGCCCTCTCATGTTCTGATGTCTTTAAAAATATGAGTTGGGCCAGGCATGATGGCTCATCCCTGTAATCCCAGCACTTTGGAAGGCCAAGGCAGTTCAGGACCAGCCTGGCCAACATAGTGAAACTTCATCTCTACTAAAAATACAAAATTTAGTGCCTGTAGTCCCTGCTAGTGGGGAGGCTAAGGTGGGAGAGTCACTTGAACCCGGGAGGCAGAGGCTGCAGTGAGTTGAGATGGTCACTGCACTCCATCCTGGGTGACTGAGACTCTGTCTATAAATACATCTATATGTGTGTGTGTGATCTGTATAATTTATCCTGTGTGTGTGTGTGTGTGTGTGTGTGTGTGTGTTTCTGGTTGTTGTAGCAGGAGTAATGACCTACTGATACCTACTATATCCTACTTGGAAGCAGAAGTTCCTTGCGTATAACATTGTATATTTTGGGAAGAGCATTGTTGTTACCACTGACTATCTCAGACTGCTTCTTACATATTCTTAGAAAACATAACAAAAGGCAGACTATGTATAACTTTAAGTTTAATTAAGATCTTTTCCCACCTACCTGGTTTCTTAACAGTGTTCTTTGTTTACTTTGCTCCTGAGTGGTTAGGAGTGTAAATATCTTACTAGCATAGTACATTGAAAATTCAATTTATTTGCTATAATAGGATTTGTTCTTCCTAAGGGCTTTGTAAAATAAACCTCAAGGTGTTTTTTTGGTTTTTTTTTTTTGTATTTTTAAAAGTCTGGGCTGAGCACAGCTAGCTTACACTTATAATCCCAGCACTTTGGGAGACTGAGGCAGGAGGATTGCTTGAGGCCAGGAGCTCAAGACTAATCTGGACAACACAGCAAGAGGCTCATGCCTGTAATCCCAACACTTTGGGAGGCTGAAGCAGGAGGATTCCTTGAGGCCAGGAGTTCAAGACTAAACTAGACAACAGCAAGACTCTGTCTCTAAAAAATAAAAATGTCTGTATTTAATATTATGAATAGGTAGCCTTCTCACATGTTCAAATGTCAAAAAATAGAAAACTGTACAGTCCATTATTTTTATTTATTTATTTATTTTAAACAGAGACTTACCCTGTCCTCCAGGCTAGAGTGCAATGGCACCATCTCGGCTCACTGCAACCTCTGCCTCCCGGGTTCAAGCAACTATCCCACCTCAGCCTCCGCACTAGCTGGGACTAGAGGCACACACCACCATGCTCAGCTAAATTTTGTATTTTTAGTAGAGATGGGATTTCGTCATGTTGGCCAGGCTGGTCTCGAACTCCTGGACTCACGTGATCTGCCTGCCTTGGCTTCCCAAAGTGCTGGGATTACAGGCATGAGCCACCGCACCCAGCCACAGTTAACTATTTCTATGACTCATCCCCCTATCCACCCCGTTCCCACTCCCGACAGGTATTTATGATTATTAGCTTATTTATTAGAAAAGTTTAAACGAATATGCTAGCTAACACATACCCGAATCATTTTCCCCCTTGTTTTCTACATAAACATAGCATACTATGGCTACTGTTTTGCAATTTGCCTTTTAAGTATAAAAGGGAAGTAACTGGCATATATGACTGGTAAGTCCAGGATGTGGCTGACAGCACAGCAGGATCCAGGGCCTCGGACAATTAATTCCAAAACCCCAGCTTCTTTCCTTCTCTTGCCTGCACTCTCCTCTCCGGTGGCTTCATCCTCAGGCAGGTTCCCCTCCCAGTCCCACATCCAGGATGACATCTTTACAGTTTGGGAACTCCAACAGAAAGGCACACCTCTTACCACATTCCTGGTAAATTCTAGCCAAAGTCCTAGGGACAGCTCTCATAGGCCCAGCTGGAGTCATCAGGCCAAGCCAGTAGGATATGCTGACTGGCCAGGCTGAAGTCGAATGGGCACCCCTAACATTCTAGGCTTGAGAAGTTGGTCCCACATTGGCATGAGCTTCCTGGGTGGGTTGAGAAAGGTGGCTCTCCAAAGCCGCATCGGGGTGCTGTAAGTGGACGATTTTCCCTAGGCAAAGGTTACAGATGCCTACTGCAGATGTAGTGTTTTTGATATCTTTTTTTTGGGCTCTTTCATGCCAGGAAGCTGCTATTATGCCAAACACAGCTGTGGCTCAGGACACACATGGCCCTCAGAAATGGCTGCCTGGAAAATGCTCCAGGTGGAGAGGGTCTGTTCTGTTTCCTTCGATTTTGTATTTGTCTATTTGGCATCCGTTAGTCACAGGACCCAACGAACAGCCAAACTTGTTGACAACTTTCCTTTTCGGGTGTGGGCACCAGAAAAATTCTATTACAAACCCTCCAACAAGTCCCAAGTCCAGACCTCTAACTATCCCCCTTATCTAACAAAAAGCCAATACTTCCCCTGCCCTAAATTAACCCAAGGCTACATACCAGAGAACCCCTAGAGACACCCCTAATCTCCGAAGCCCCCCCAGGATTATTCAAACCAGCCAATCCCAAACTGTTTTCCTGCGCTGCCTTGCCTATCCCGCCGAAACGCCAATAAACGTTCTGGTTTAAGCCTTCCCTTCACTCCTCTCTGCCTCCTGACCAAACCTGGTGCTCCTGCATTTGGCTCTGTGTGGCATGGCACGCCCCTCCTCTCAAGAAACGGGGATAAATTATTCTTTTTTTTTTTTTTTTTTTTGAGACGGAGTTTCGCTCTTGTTACCCAGGCTGGAGTGCAATGGCGCGATCTCGGCTCACCGCAACCTCCGTCTCCTGGGTTCAGGCAATTCTCCTGCCTCAGCCTCCTGAGTAGCTGGGATTACAGGCACGCGCCACCATGCTCAGCTAATTTTTTGTATTTTTAATAGAGACGGGGTTTCACCATGTTGACCAGGATGGTCTCGATCTCTTGACCTCGTGATCCACTCGCCTCGGCCTCCCAAAGTGCTGGGATTACAGGCTTGAGCCACCGCGCCCAGCCTGGGGATAAATTATTCTTTCAATGCCGTTAGTCTCTCTGGCATCAGTCACCTCTATGAATTAAAATCCCACGGGTAGGTGAGGCAGGGGCTGCTGCCACTGAGTTTTCAGTCCCGGAAAACCACACTTTTTTTGATCTGTCTCTGCAGGGCTTTGGCAGTCTCTCCTCTCCATCCCCTAAATAATGCTGGCCTCTGTTCCACAGGTACCCTCTACAAGAGCAGGCGCAAATAGTAACTCAGATGCCTCCAGGAGCACGAGGAGCCTATCGCTGGCAAAAGGGAATGTGGGCCCTGTGATAATACGAGATCTTTGTTTCTTTTCTTTCCTTCCTTTCTCTCTTCTTCCCTCTCTCCTTCCTTCCCTCGCTTCTTCTCTCCCACCCTCCCTTTCTTCTTTTCTCTTTTTAAAGAAAAACTATTTCTGTTTCGTTTGGGGATTTTGTGTGTGTGTGTAAAATGTGTCGTGTTTGTTTTTTTCCCCACACTAACTGCTTTTATTATTGCGGTAAAATATGTATGAAATAAACTGCCATTTTAACTCTTTTTTAAGTGTGTAACTCAATGGCATTCATTATATTCAAATGCTGTACAACCATTGCCACTATTTCTAAATCTTTTCATCCCCTGAAACGGAAAGTATGAACCCAGTAAGCAATAATCCTCATTCTTCCCTTCCTCCTATTCTCAGTTCCTGAAACCTCTAATCTGCTTTCTCTATGAATCTGCCTATTCAAAAAATCGTTCATATAAATGGAGTCACATAGTATTTGTTCTTCTGTGTCCGGCACATTCGACTCAGAATGCTGTGGCATGTGCCAGAGCTTCATTCCTCTTCGTGGCCAAATGATATTCCCCTGCATGGATAAACCACTTCTTTTGGGTTGTTTGTTTGAGACGGAGTCTTGCTCTGTTGCCCAGGCTGGAGTGCAGAGGTGCGATCTCAGCTCACCACAACTTCTGCCTCCTGGGTTCAAGTGATTCTCCTGCCTCAGCCTCCTGAGTAGCTGGGATGACAGGCCCACGCCACCATATCAGCTAATTTTTGTATTTTTTTTAGTAGAGACGGGGTTTTATCATGTTGGTCAGGCTAGTCTTGAACTCCTGACCTTGTGATCTGCCTGCCTTGCCCTCCCAAAGTGCTGGGATTACAGGCGTGAGCCACTGCACCTGGCATTTTTTTTTTTAGATGGAGACTCACTCTGTCACCCAGGCTGGAATGCAGTGGCACGATCTCAGCTCACTACAACCTCCACCTGCCAGGTTCAAGCAATTCTCCTGCTTCAGCTTCCCGAGTAACTGGGGTTACAGGCGCATGCCACCACGCATGGCTAATTTTTTCTATTTTTAGTAGAGAAAGGGTTTCACCATGTTGGTCAGGCTGGTCTCGAACTCCTGTCTTCAAGTGATTCGCCCACCTCAGCTTCCCAAAATGCTGGGATTACAGGTGTGAACCACCATGCCCAGCTTAAATATACTACATTTTGTTTGTTCATTCATCTGTTAATGGATACTTGGGTGAAATATGTCGATTTTTACTTGTAAAAAGAAGGCACATCTTTGTTAAATTACTCCCCAGGCTACCTTTCTCTATAGGAAAAAGCAGAGGAAATCAAGCAGATTTTTCATAGCACAATGACCAAGGAAAAAGTGAACAGAGATAACACAAAGACACAAACAATCCACCAAATAAATAACACCACTGACGTTACTTAGGCTCAACCAGTAGCACCCAAATCAGAGGTGGGATACTCACAACTCAATAAAGGCTGACATTCAGCTGAAATTGTTGGTGTCACACATGGCCTTAATTCCCTTATTGCTTTGGTCTTCGCAAAGGCCATTTTGTGGCCTTCTCCAGTACCAGCCATTGTGGGAGATCCTGAAGAGCACCCTCATGGAGAGCATATTCTGTAGAGGAAGACATGCATATTAACAGTGTCAATATAGGCAACACAAATGCTGATTGATATTACGGGAAAACCTGGGAGGGATACAGAGGCAGATCTGGAGGATTAGGTGAGGCTTTCCAACTTCCCAACTTCTCCAACAACTTGCAGAGAAGTTATCCCAAGACCTGAGAGATGAACAAGAGGTATAATTTGGAGGCAAAGGCCAGGAAACTGGAAAGACTGTAAAACACCTTTGAGGAAACATCAGGAAAATGGGGATTAGGGACAGATGACACATGAGAGGAAGCAGGGACCCAATCTGAGTTTGGTCTTCACCTTGAAGGCAAATGTCAGCTGCTGGAAGGTTTCTGTTTTGTTTTTTGGGGTTTTTTTGGAGACAGATTCTCACTCTGTCACTCAGGCTGGAGTGCAGTGGCACGATCTTGGCTCACTGCAACCTCTACCTCCCACCTGGAAGGATTCTGTGGATGTGAGTGTAGGGTGGTGGAAGGTTTGTGCACGCATCTTAATCTTAAATACATACCTTGGCCAGGCAAGGTGGCTCATGCTTGTAGTCCCAGTGCTTTTGGAGGCTGAGGCTGGCAGATCACTTAAGGCCAGGAGTTTGAAACCAGTATGGGCAACATGGCAAAATCTCATTTCTACTAAAAATACAAAAATTAGCCAGGCATGGTGGCATGTGCCTGTGGTCCTGGCTACTGAGGAGGCTGAGGTGGGTGAATCGCTTGAGCCTGGGAGGTGGAGGTTGCACTGAGCCAAGATAGCACCACTGCACTCTGGTCTGGACAACAGAACCAGACCCTGCCTCAAAAAATAAAAATACATTTTTTTATTTTTATTTTATTTTTATTTTTTATTTTTTTTGAGACAGAGTTTCGCTCTTGTTACCCAGGCTGGAGTGCAATGGCGCGATCTCGGCTCACCGCAACTTCCGCCTCCTGGGTTCAGGCGATTCTCCTGCCTCAGCCTCCTGAGTAGCTGGGATTACAGGCACGCGCCACCATGCCCAGCTAATGTTTTGTATTTTTAGTAGAGACGGGATTTCACCATGTTGACCAGGATGGTCTCAATCTCCTGACCTCGTGATCCACCCGCCTCGGCCTCCCAAAGTGTTGGGATTACAGGCGTGAGCCAACGCGCCCGGCCATACTTTTTTTTAAATTAAAAAAATGCATATCTCAATGATTATGTATATAATGATTTTATATATGAATGATTTCTATATCACTTTATACATATTAAATGTCTACATAAGATAGATATGTAATTTCCAGCACTCTGTCAAATTTCCTTGTGGAGCTTCCCCATCTACCTCTGCCTCCAAGGGGAACCCGGTATAAACTATTTACTCTTTTATCTACCTCTTTTTGTGCTCAGCACAGTCTGTGCTTCATCTATATTGCATGTAACAGTAGTTCATTCTCCTTTTACTTTGTAATACAGAAAAAAACTGAGAAAAGCTTTGAAATGGTCTAAAAAAGATTACTGGGGCCAGGTATAGTAGCTCAACCCTGTAATCCCAGCACTTTGGGGGACCAAGGTGGGTGGATCACCTGAGATCAGAAATTCTGACCAGCCTGGCCAACATGGTGAAACCCCATCACTATTAAAGATACAAGAAATTACCCAGGCGTGGTGGCATATACCTGTAGTCCCAGCTGCTCGGGAAGCTGAGGCAGGAGAATCGCTTGAACCTGGGAAGTGAAGGTTGCAGTGAGCTAAGATCACACCATTGCACTCCAGTCTGGGCGATAGAGCAAGACTCCATCTCAAAAAAAAAAAAGATTACTGAGTGTCACTGAAAAACAAGGCATCCAGCTGTCCAGCTTACACTTTATAGGATGTCTGATTCTATGAGAACACTAAATCTTTTATTGTCTTTGAGCTATAGAACAACTCGAAGTTTTTACAAACTATAGACACTTCTTGTCTATAGAAATGCAAATTGTTTTAGTAGAATGCAATTGATTACTGAGCTGTGGATTTGATCAGTTCTGCCAGTTTTTGTATATATTTGTAGTTATTTCATTATTCCTCATTTAACTGTGTGTGTGGTACTTTGAATCTTCCATTGAATCTCTGGATTCAATCTTTCTGGATCTCTCTGGATCTTTTCTGGATCTCTCATTCATTAATGAGTTAAAATCTCTAAGATTTATCTTATATCTGTATGATCATGATATTTGATATTTAAATTATTCTTCAATAGTAGCATACAGTTATATGAATAAGCCATAATTTATCTATTCATCTATTGGTGGACATTTGAGTTATTTCCCTTTGGCTATTATCAGTAAAGCTGCTATGAGTCTTTTGGTGAACAAAGGCATTCACTTTTGGGGGATAAATATCTAGAAATGGGATTTCTGGGGCACAGGGTAGGGGTAAATGGAATTTTGGTAGAGATTGATATGTTTTCAAAGTGGTTGTACCATTTTACACTCCATCAATTCTGTATGAGAGTCCTATTTTTGCATCTTTGCAACTAATTGGAATTGTCTGTTCCTTTCAGCTATTCTGTGAGCTGTTTATTTTTTTTGTGGGATATTTAATAGTATATTTTGGTTTTAATTTACCATAGAAGGTTTTCAGGAGGGCGGTAACTTGAACAGATTTTTACATTTTGGAAAACTGTTTCTGCGTATTATGTGGAGAACGATTCTTTGTATACCAAAGTTCATAGCAGCATTATTCACAATAGCCAAAAGGTGGAAATAACCAAGCATCCATTTATATGGATGAATGGATAAACAAAATGTAGTAAACATGTATGATGGTGTATTATTTAGCCTCAAGAAGGAAGGAAATGGCTGCTCCTTGAAGACATTATGCAAAGTGAAATAAGCCAATCAGAAAAGAGCAATTAGTGTATGGTTCAATTTATACGAAGTATCTAGCATTCACAGATAGAAATAGCAATAGTGGCGATCGGGTTGTGAGAAGCGGGTAATGGGGAGTGACTGTGTAATAGGCAGATTTTCTGTTTGGGATAATGAAAAAGTTCTGGAGACGGATAGTGGCGACGGTTTCACAGTGTGAATGTACTTAATGCCACTGAACTGTACACTTAAAAATGGTGAATCTTATGTTAGATACATTTCACCACACACCCAAAGAGGAAGGAAGAAAGGGAGCGTGGGAGGGAAGGAAGCAGAGAGGGAAGAGAGGAATAAAGTAAAGAAACTAAGATCTGGCATCACAGGACCCACATTCCCGCGTGGCTGAAACAGAGGCCAGCGGTGTTAAGGGGATGGAGAGGAGAAACCGCCAAAACCTCGCAGACAGTGACCGTCGGAGCCAAGAGACGGGGTGCAGAGGCCTGGCTTGGCCTGTGGGACCTGGCAAGTCTCAGCTCTCAAACTCCGGGGCTTTTCAACCCCGCCACCGCCGGGGTCCAGCTGTCTACTTCCTGCAAAGCCCTCACCGCCTCCACACAGCAAAAACAAAGACTCAACCAACGCCGGAAGCCCGGGAAGTCACCGTAGTCACCTGACCCTCCCTTAAGGACTCTCATTGGGCTTTGGAGATTCGTGCCCCGCCCGGCGCCGTACGGAGACCCGCCCCAACAGCCTGAGGGGGGCGGGAACAGATGTCAGGGGGCGACGGTATTGGTCGGCATCCCCAGGAAGCAGCCAATTGGAATAGGCAGGCTTCCGGCGCGAACTGAGTGAGCGTTCGGCGCGGCGTCCGAGATCGCGACGCGGGGAGTTTGGATCCTGGTTCCGCCCGCTCGGAGTCTGCGTGCAAGGTGAGTGTCGCCCGCGAGCTGTGGGTCGGTCCCCCTGGACCTAGCCCGGCTCTCGGCGGCCCGGCCCGGAGCTGGAGGCCGCGCGGGTTCTTCCGTTTACTGCATTGGTTCATCTTGGCCCCCTGAGTCCTCTGGTTTGGAGAGCATCCTGGGAGGACAGCAGACACAAACACGTTCCCAGATGGGGAAACCGAGGCCCGGGGCGGGGGCGAACTTTCCCACGGTCGCCTACGGCGTCGGGGACCGAGCACGGGCCAGGACCCGGCCTGTTCTTGCCAATGTATCCCAGTGCCTAACATGATGCCCCGCACTGAGGAATCCCTGCCCAGACCTCGGGCACTACCTCCGTGTTATCTGTTTTTTCTTTTTTCATAGTCATTCCTGGAATGAGTGAGATTTTAAATATATCTAAAATGAGGCCGGGTACAGTGGCTCACACCTATAATCCCAACACTTTGGGAGGCTGAGGCAGGCAGATCACTTAAGGCCAGGAGTTCGAGACTTGCCTGACCAACATGGCGAAATCCCCTCTTTACAGTAAACACAGCAATTAGCCAGGCGTGGTGGTGTGTGCCTGTGGTTCCAGCTGCTAGGGAGGCTGAGGCACGAGAATCACTTGAACCCAGGAGGCTGCAGTGAGCCACGATTGCACCACAGCACTCTAGCCTGGGTGACAGAGTGCGACTCCGTCAATCTTTCTGAAATGTTTTATGCCTTTAAAAGAGAGAGAATAGAGCTGAATTTAACTTTTTAAATTTGGTCGCTGGGTACATGGATATAATTCTATTTTCTGTATCTTTGTGTAAGAAACATTAAAAGTTAAAATATATACATGTATCTTTTAATTTATATATATATATATATATACACACACATATGTTTTTTTCTAAGAGAAAAATGGATTGAATAAAGAGGTCCAAGATAATTGCAGAATAATCCTAGTTCAGGGCTGAAAGCCCCTGAGAGTGTCCATTACCTGCAGGATGAAATCTAAACTCCTTAGCATGATAGCGGAGGCCTTTGAGCATTCCGCTTCTCTAACACACACCACCCTACCGCAGCCTTTCTACCAATAGTTCATAGACTACTCTTCTTCACAACCTCAGTCCTGTCTGTAAAGTTCCACTTGTCCTTCAAGATCCAATTCATTGTTCTTTGAAAAGCTTCTGGGCCGGGCGCGGTGGCTCAAGCCTGTAATCCCAGCACTTTGGGAGGCCGAGGCGGGTGGATCACGAGGTCAAGAGATCGAGACCATCCTGGTCAACACGGTGAAACCCCATCT